CGCCTCGGACATCGCCCCTGTACTCCCCCGGCAGCTGCCGGGCACAAGGAAAAGCCTCCAGGCTCCGGCTGCGATGGCAAGATCCCGGGAAAGAAGGACTGGAGGGGTTTAACGAGAGTTCCCTTCACTTTCTCAGTCTTCCCTATTCATCTGGCTGCACGGCGTTGTTGTGTAGGGATGAACAGCCGGCTTTGGGGCAGGTTAAAGCCCATGTTTACTTTATTCCTCGAGGAAAACAATATCTCACATTCCCCGTTTAATCTTAATAACCAAATCCAGAACTTTTCGTTTTCAAGTGTTTCACCTCGTTCCTTTCTGTTCGCGTTATAACAATTTAAAATGCATTTTTAAATCCAGACTGTTTCTGTGAAAACTAGTTACCCAAAAAAATGTCTTCTAGTCCCATTTGCAGTTCTTCCACCACCACCCCACACCCTCTTCTCATCATTACCAGTTATTGTACTGTGGTTTTCTATACAGAGCTGGAAACAGGTTTCCTTTTTCCCAGCCTAAACAGGATCCACTCTGCACTGGAATAAAGCGGAGTTTATGGGTGAGCGGGGCTTATCTCGTCCCGATCGTTGCTCACAGGTTTTTGGGAAAACTACAGGTTTCGGTTAAGTCACTGGGAGTTTTGCAGGAGTAAAAAAATGCCAGGTGATGCTTTGTGCACTGAGATAAACTATTGTTAGCGCTAGTTTCATGAGGCAAAAAGATCTCCCCTGGTCCTTTGATGGATTTTTACAAGGAAAAGAAATGCCCACACGCATTCCATTCACTCTGGCGTTTTAAACCAGTAAAACTCTGGATATAATTGCAATTGTAGACAGTGCTCTTAATAAATCTCAACACGCACTAATTTATCACCAGGGAAGGACCAGTGGGTTTTGTTTTAAAGGAAATGTTCCCCTGGACCTGAGGAAAGCATCCTCCTCGCGTGCTGTCAGGAGATGAGGGAGATTTCGCTGTATGTTTAACAGGAGTAATAATCACCAGCACAGCACCTCCCCATGCTAGGGA